TCTCTTTTTCTTTCTCTATTATTTTTTCTCATATTTTTTCTCTTATTTTTCTCATATTATTCTCATATTATTTTTTCCCTTATTATTTTTCTCTCTCTTCCTCTTCCTCTCCTCTCCCTCTCCTCTCCCTCTTCCTCTTCCTCTTCCTCTCCTCTCCCTCTCCCTCTCCCTCTCCCTCTTCCTCTTCCTTCCCTCTCCCTCTCCTCTCCCTCTCCCCTCTCCCTCTCCTCTCCCTCTCCTCTCCTCTCCCTCTCCCTCTCTCTTCCCTCTCTCCCTCTCTCCCTCTCTCCCTCTCTCCCCCTCTCTCTCTCTCTCTCTCTCTCTCTCTCTCTCTCTCTCTCTCACTCTCTCTCATCTCTCTCTCTCTCTCTCTCTCTCTCTCTCTCTCTCTCTCTCTTTTCCCCCCTCCTATCTCCATCTTCTAAAACCGGGGCATTCTGCGAAGGCATCAGAATTTGATTTTACGGAAATGCTCCCCGAGACGCCCTCCTAGCTCTTGGAAAGTGTTACGAAAACAAAAAATAAGTGTCCTATACTTTTTTTTCGAATGTGGTTTGTTCTCGTGTGTTTCTTTGGTTGGAATTCGACGGTTTTTGTTTCGTCGATATGCTATCAATGTCAATGGGGTTTGTTCTCGTGTGTTTCTTCATCTGGAATTCGCAGTTCTCTAAATTTTGTTGATGTACTGTCAATGGATGTGTAAAGTTCGTCCTCTGGTTCCGTTGGGTGGTTGTGTGGACGCTTTATATTTATTACAAAGATCCACTTGACACGTTTGCATGTTTTTGTTTTAAGGTGATGATGATGATCACAAGAACGACACTTAACCATGGTAATAACTACGTAGAACTTCTGGAGAAATCACGCATTACTCAGGATGTTGGCCAGGTTCTCCTCCCTCTTCAAATAATGGACTAAAACAAAAAGTGGAAACCTAATTATGAACAGGCGCTGGTGTTAATGGCAGGTGTCGGTCCTTACGAAACTTATGGTTAAGTCTACGATAGGGATAATGTGGACCTCTTAACTTGGCTAATATAAAAATTGCGCTGGTCATAGGAATGTACAGCACAGGTACTTAAAGGACTTCCTTCACTAGTGGCTTCGATCATCACTGGTGTTGACGTCCGTTGCTCCTACGTGCAACCGCCGCGAATAGAAAACAGCTCTAACGATAACAACCTTGGCGGTGATAATGACTAACGCCTACGGGCTGTATGGTCAAGGAGCATATATAGTTGTATTTTGTCCTTCGTGTTTTGTGTTTCAAGGGAATAAGGGAAGGGAGGGGTGGGCTACGTCAAGGTTGATCCTGCTGTTTGGTTCGGCCTGCTTGCTTGCTTGTTAGAGGTACCGTTTAAGAGCTTCTTTTTTTTTTCTTTTTCTTTTTTTAAATCTTGTTCTGGCTCTGAAAGGTCAGTTACCTTGTCGGCGGCGGAGGCAGCAGGATGATGGCTGATTGCTGTTGGCGCTTGTTCTGTTATTTGTAACATCGTATTAGTATTATTTATGTGATATTATTTGTGATATTAACATCACTTTTAGTACAGTAATGGTGGCAATATTTGTAATTGCTGTTAATGTTAATTATGATGATGATGATACAGTACTACTTGTTATGGTATTAGTTATTACTGGTTAGTAAAACTAGTGAAAGCTAAATAGCACCTTCTGATTGGGCCCTGTTATTAATGCTAGCACGGCCTGAGGCTCGTTGAAGATGTGGGCATGCTACCCCTCCCCCTCCCCCCTCCCCCTCCCCACCACATCGAATACCCGAGAAGAAAGTTCTCCGCGAGGAAATTAGGTTCAGACCCGAGGTTCAGACCCACCAATTGAGGTTTCCCCGAGAGGATGGAACCAGTCCGAATGGCGTTTCTTTTCATCTCCTTTCTTTTCCTCGCGTGTTTGTTCCTCTTCCTTCTTTTGCCTCTTCTCTTCTCTTTTTTTTTCCTCCGGTGTTTTCCTGTTCGAGGACTGCTTCACGGGTCAGCGGCGTTTGCTGTCTCATACTTGTGCGTGCGGTTTCTCTCTTCTCCCTCTCTCTCTTCTCTCTTTTTCTCCCCCCCCCCACTCCCGAATCTACTCCCCCACCCTCACTCCTCCCTCTATCTCCCCCGACTCACCATCTGTCTCTCTCCATCTTCCCCCTTCTTTGTCTCCTCCGTGTCTTCCCCCTCCTATCTCCTCCATCGCTTCCTCTTCTCCCGCCCTCCTTTCCCTCTCCTTTCCTTCCACTTCCTCTCTTCCTTCAATTCTGCCCATTCCCGTCGCTTCTGGGATTTTGATGAGGACTTAGGAAATGAGCCGAGGACGACCTCATACAATCTCCAATATCTGATAAATTAACTCTTGTCCTTGATTTGATTTATATTTTTAAGTAAGAGTTTCTTTGTTTACTTTTTTTCATTCCGTAGCTGTGAGTCTCTGTCTGTCTGTCTGACGCTTGTTTTGTTGCCAGACTCACACAATGGTGCTAATTCTTCTATGGGCGGCCGCTGTTTGTCATGCGTGGAGGGCGTTCCCTGGAGGCGTCTCGGCACGTGGTGGGCGGGTGGCTCGTGAGTGGGTCTTACGGGCGGTGCTTTGTCCCCTGGCGTCTGGCACAACACACACGCCGCGTGGACACTCGTTTTGTCACCTTGGTCGTCGTCCTCTTCACTCGCTTCTCTCTCTCTCTCTCTTTCCATTCTTCCTTTTTTTTCTCCCGTTTCCGTTCTCTCTCCCCTCTCGCGCTTCGTTTTGTCTTTGCCTATTCCATTCTTCTTTATTCTTCCGTTTCTGCCCTATTTCTATTCTTCCTTTTTCTTCAGTTTCCGGTCTCCCTCCCTCTGTACTCTTTCTGTCTTTCCCATTTCCAGTTTTCCTCCCCCTCCTATCCATTACCCCCTTATTGCATGTGTATTTCCCTCCCACCCCTTTCTATCCCTTTCTATTCTCCCATTGCATTTCCCTTCTATCTATCCATCCCTCCCCCCCATCATTTCATTTTTTTCCTAGCCTTGTTCTCCCTCCCCCCCTCTCTTTTACATTTCCTCTCTCTCCCTCCAATTCTCCCCTCTTTCCTTTCCCTCCTCCCTCCCATTCTCCTCTCTTTCCTCTCCCTATCTTCCTCCCATTCCCTCCTATTTCTTCTCTTTTCTTTTTCCCTCCCTCTCGTTCCACCATTTCTACTTTAGCCGGGTTGCTAAGGAGAAAGAGAGAAAAACCCCTGCATTAATCTTCGCAGCCGATGCACAAACGAGTTTTTTTCTCCCAACCTCCGTAGTTGGACCACTTTTGCGAATACTTTCTCTTGCCAATTTGCGTTTGTAGGTGCGGCTGTGTCGCAGTGCCACGAGCATTGATAGCTGTTATTTAGTACGCTTCTAGGTTGCCCTATTTATTTTTTATTTTGTTTTGTTTGTTTTCTCGTGTCCATTTAGATGTGCGTTTTGCTCTTGACTTCAGTTCCTTTCTTGTGCTCGTTTCGCCGTCAGCTTCCAGAACCCACGATCACAGAGATAATATCTACGTGGTAAAGGAAGCGTTCCGTTCCTCTCGACGTGCGTGTGCGCGCGCGCGCTGCCTGCGAGGCCGGCTATGAAAATCCTGAACCGAAACTACTGGCGCGCATCCCGTCGAACCGGCGACCTTTCCTGAGGTCTAGGTGAAGGCCACAAAACTTTCGTCTGCTTACGCTCGCGGTCGAGATCCGGTACGCGTGTGCGGGCAGTGCTATTGTGGGGAAGTTGTCCTTTGTGATTTTGTGAATGGGATGTAGGGAGTCGTTAGAATAATGGGTGTGAATCCCGAAATTACAGTGCAAGTTCAGGGCATAATGGTGGCGTCTTCAGCTCCGTTCGTGGGCGATGTTATTCAAGTAATTGAAAAGGGTTTAAAACAAACCGAAATATTACGGAATTGTCGTTATTATACCGCGTTTCTAACATTGGATTTTCAGTTTTCGATTTTGTTTCGTAACTTGTCTTTCGAGAACTGCGACGGGCACATTCGAATTCGAGGAGTAGCGTGACTCGAGGGCTGGAGACCCGGCAGAGCGCATGGACTGTCCGCTGCAAGGAGGCGGCGGCGGCGGCGGCGGAAGGGTGAAGATGGACTCGGCGACGGCAGGATATTATTGCCTGACGTATCTTGCGTGTGATTAGATTAGCCACTCGAGGAAGGTCATTCTTCCAAGGGCGCCGGGCCTTTTGTTGCGGCGCTGCTGACGGAAAGGTGCCTCTTGTGTGACGCCCTCGAGGTACGGGGGCAGGGAGGGTGGGAGGGGCGCGAGGTGTAATGAGGGTGATTTCGTGCGATGAAATGACGGGGGAGGAGTGACGGCAGATCACTGGATGATGAAATAAAATAAAAATAAAAATCTTGGATCGAGGTCATTATTCATTATTTCTGTCGCTGAGTTTGTCAAACAAGCCCTGTTTTCCCTCCGCTAGTTCATCACGACCCAATCAGGATTTTATGTAAATATTTTCAATTTCTCGTGTCGTCCATATTCACTTGTACTTCGCCCGTTCGTCTGCCTCGCCTTGTGCAAGCGATTCTACTGCCTGCCGAGACGAGTCCGGGTCCGTGATAATCGTAGCCGCGTGTCCCTTTTTGTTCTTGGAACCAGATTATTCAGATTATTCTTCGCCTCCGCCACTCCACGAGCGCCTGTGCCGGAAGCGAGGAGTCTGCGAGAAGAGCGTCGAAACGAGGTTGCTGGAATTGCGGAGAGCGCGTGGCGATGTACGAGGAAAGGTCCCTCCTTCCTTTTTCTTTTCTTTTTTTTTTTCTTGTTCTTCCTTGTTGGTCTGTCAGAAATTATGTTTAGAAAATAACATCGATTAATTTGCTTTTTAAAAGTATACATTTCGTTAGTCATGAGTGTAACATACATTTCGTGTCATGTCGATGTTTAAATGGATTTAGCTCAGTCAAATAAATGACAAAAGAAATAATGGAGATGGAGATTGAGGCGTGGAGTCTGTGGCAGAAGTGGGGTGAGGGGGCGGGGGGCCGAGGGGTCCCGAGGGGTCCCGAGGGAGAGACCCAGGCGGCACACATATACGCTCGAGCGCCCGGCCGCCCCGCGCAGTCTCGCTCGACGCGCTCTTGGCTCCCCTTCGGTCCCGACGCGCGAAGACGTCGCCGTCGCTCGCGCGCTCTCCGTGCCGCTCGAGGCTGGCCCCGAAGTCGTGCCTGTGCCCGCCGCTGCTCAGCGACGTCATTCTGGCTGATCTGCCGGCGTGGGGACGCGAGTTCCAAGTAGATTGCAGCTTTATAGTGAGGGTTATGTACCCTATTGGTAGCGTCGATAAGGTCCTTCTGTAGATTTTCCTTTGGTTCGTCTTGAAGTCCTTAGCGAGCGTGATTTAGCACATGCGCTAAAAGCCTAACCGAAGGGTCGCGAAGTTAGTGGTTGTCATCTTTTTATTTATTCCCTTTGCGTGAGCAAATGGCGGTCATGTATAAACTGTTACCGCTGGCGAGCGTGTTCTGTTTGGGGAGAGCGGGGGTATTTATGCCAACTGTCAGCAACAACGTCTCACTTCTGATGCCAGACGGCTCCCTGGTGCCCCTCTGGCCTGGTCATCCTCCAGGCCCCCCCGTGGCGCAACGGTGGCCGCACTCGCCTTCCGCCGCGACGCCCCATCGGCCTGTCTCGGTCCTCTCGTATCCCTTCCTCGATGGGTTCAAGGTTCGCGTCACCACCAAGGTCAGGGACGGGGACGACGACGACGACAGTCATGAGGACGAGGATTCGCGGGAGGCGGTGGCAGCGGCACCCGTAGGCGGCAAAAAGCCAGAGGTCACTCCTTTATCCTCATCCTCCAGCAAGCCCTGCTGCCAGGGGACTTCCGCCTCGGGGAGCTCGGCCCCCGGGGACAACCTCAACTCCCTGGACTTCTTCCCGGTTCAGAGGCTTCCGCGGCCGCCGCTGGTCGTGTGGCCCGAGTCCACCAGCCAGTTCAGACCTCTCAACGTGTCCGCCAAAGAGACGGGGATACCCAACTCTCTCAACTACAAAATTTATTTCCGTACGTTTTTAGTGTCGATAACTGTATCGATGACTTCATAGTGAACATATATACTGTATATCTGGCTGTGCATTTTGGTTAGTTCCATATATTCAACGATCGCACATTCAGTAATTCAAGGTATGGACATATTTTTAGACCAGAAATATCTCGTTCAAGATGCAGCATGGAACTTCGTTATTGAGTTGTATTCTCATACTGACGAAATCCAAGTTTCACAAGTCCTTTCTCTGCCGATTTTCTATTTTCTCTGGAAAATGAACTACCAGGGAGTTGCAGTTTTCTGTATATATTTTTGCAGGTCAAATATATTCGGAAGTTCACAAGGTTTTACACACGCACACACACGCACGCGCACGCGCACGCGCACACACACACGCGCACGCGCGCACGCACACACACACGGACACACACGCACACACACGCAGACACACGCACACACCACACACACACACACACACACACACACACACACAACACACACACACACACACACACACACACACACACACACACACACACATATATATATTTTTTTTTTTTTTTTCATATATGCTTGTGTTGTAGGGGGAGGGGTAGAATATTTTTTCAACTCCTAAAAGCTCCTATAAAAGTTTTTTTTTTTTTTTGTCTTGCAGAGAATGAAGATGGCCCCATTTCGCCTTTCCACGACATCCCGCTCTTCGCCAACGAGGGCAACAAGATCTTCAACATGGTGGTCGAGGTGCCGCGCTGGACCAACGCCAAGATGGAGGTAGGTCTATTTCCCCGCCGAAAGTTCCTGTAATGTCAAAGAAAAGACCGGAGCGTCGGCAACTGTGGCAACCAGTTTACACATCATTCGGTGAATTTTAACAAGTCAGTCCGTTCAAATGAACTTTCACATTATGCACCTGGTTGGTTTTATCCTTTCAGATCTCCACCAAGGAATACCTGAACCCCATCAAGCAAGACGTCAAGAAGGGGAAACTCCGCTACGTCGCCAACTGCTTCCCGCACCACGGATACATCTGGAACTACGGCGCGCTGCCCCAGGTGACGTTTTTGGGAGTTTTTTTCCGGAGTGTTTGCGGCGACTCTAAATTCTGCACTTCTTTTTTTTTTTTTTTTTTTTTTTTTTTTTTTTTTGAGGATGGACTTAATTTTTGTTTTACTCGGGTCTGTTTGGATAGATCTTTCTGAATGGGGAAAAAAATCCATTTTGGTAATTATCTGTGTGTGTGTGTGTGTCTGTATGTGTTTGTGTGTGTGTGTCTGTAAGTCTTGTGTGTGTGTGTGTGTGTCTGTATGTGTTTTGTGTGTGTTTGTGTCTGTAAGTCTTTGTGTGTGTTTGTGTCTGTAAGTGTTGTGTGTGTTTGTGTCTGTAAGTCTTTGTGTGTGTGTGTGTCTGTAAGTCTTTGTGTGTGTGTGTGTCTGTATGTGTTTGTGTGTGTGTGTGTCTGTATGTGTTTGTGTGTGTGTGTGTCTGTATGTGTTTGTGTGTGTGTGTGTCTGTATGTGTTTGTGTGTGTGTGTCTGTTGTGTTTGTGTGTGTGTGTCTGTATGTGTTGTGTGTGTGTGTCTGTATGTGTTTGTGTGTGTGTGTCTGTATGTGTTTGTGTGTGTGTGTCTGTATGTGTTTGTGTGTGTGGTGTCTGTATGTGTTTGTTGTGTGTGTATGTGTGTGTCTGTCTGTATGTTTTGGTGTTGTGTGTGGTGGTGTGTGTGTGTGTGTGTGTGTGTGTGTGTGTGTGTGGTGTGTGTGTGTGTGTGTGTGTGTGTGTGTGTGTGTCTGTATGTTTGTGTGTGTGTGTGTCTGTATGTTTGTGTGTGTGTGTGTCTGTATGTTTGTGTGTGTGTGTGTCTGTATGTTTGTGTGTGTGTGGTCTATGTATATGTATATGTATATGTATATAGTGTGTGACTATGTATGTGTATGTGACCTAATGTAATTACCAGTGAAATTTTACTTATTGCTTCAGATATTTGTTTCTTGACTTGATTTTTTCACAATTCCTTCGCATAACTGATCATGATATTGGTATCAATAGATTCCTCTCAGAATACTCACATTCTTGGCCCTTTTAGCAGGGGGAGGGCATGAAAGGTACCAGGGAATATTGTCGGATACACTAACAATGCTGCATAATCCAGGGGGTACAGCCCCCTCCAATCCCCCAAGGGGGGGGTACTGCCCCAACACCCACCTAGGGAAACCAAGAATCCTCCAGGTAGTCATGGTAGGATAGAGCATCAAACTCCCACATGTCAGTCATATTCTCTACCCTGCTGTGAATAAGTGGAGGATTCTTTGTCTTATATTACAGGGATTGGGGGGTGGAAGCCCCCCAGGTGGGGGGTCACAGGGGGTACAGCTATAGGGACTGATTCTGTGTATATTGTTCATATTTTACCCCACAATTCCCTTTCATGCCCTCCAGTGCTATTGTGGCCAAGATTGTTACTATTTGGCGGTTTCTGTGGCATAATTTTGATACATTTGGATAGTTCAGTAGAGAATGAGAGGAATTCATCAATACTAAATTTGTCATGATCGGCATCTGAAAACTACCAATAACTACCAATAAAGTCAATTAATGTTGCATGTAAACCTGTGATTAGTAATTACGTGCATTTCCAAAATATTAAATTAAAGGTTGTGATAAGCTCAAATACCAATGTTTTGGCAACTGATGTTCCAGACATGGGAGGACCCCAACCACGTTGACGAGGCTACTAGTTGTAAAGGTGATAATGACCCAATTGATGTGTGCGAGATTGGATACCGTGTTGCAAGAGAGGAGACGTCATTCAAGTCAAGGTAAGTCCCTCCTTTTGCGCTTTTCCTCTGCAGACTCAGAGAAGTAAGAAAATAGTTTTTCCATTCATTTTAACTTGATTCTACCTTGGATGGCATGCCCGCATATGCCAGCCAATCAGTGCGTGATACTTTTCAGTATATCTTGGTTAGGAACTGTTTTTTCATTAATCGTGAATCGTATCATGTTCCTTGATACAAAATTCATATATAAAGGTGTATATGTATAAATGCTTGTGATATTTTGACAATATATCCGATACATGTTCATTCCATTATGTAAATATGAAATCAATCAGTCATTGAAACACAATAAGAATTTTCAGCAATTTTATGTGGTTCTGACTTTGGTGGGATATAAAAAGATATAACTTCAAAATCATTTTGAAATACTGAGTTAGGGATCAAAGTTATCAGTATAAAGGCTTTTGTAACTTACTTGGTTGCTATATTACAGCCATTAAGACTAGAAAATGCCTGTGTTCATTGGAATCATTATTAGAGTTTTGGAACTCTTATGTGAGCATAGACTCGTACATGGTGAATATGAAGAGGCAAAGCTTCAAGAAGTATTACTTCCGCTTTCCATATGAAGAACAATGGATATGCAGTAAAAGATTTTTTTTTTTTTTTTCTGAGAATACATTTGAAATTTGCCACACCCTTTCAAAGGGAAGAATAAGTGTAAATAAACTATGACTTTTGGAGTTATCACTTTCCTTTTCATTTAAAGGTCTCATGATTTTTTTTTTTAGTTAAAAGCACACTATCCTTTTTAAGTAATTTAATGAATTTCTGTCGACTTTGTGTAATAACTAACCCCTCCCCCTCCAAAATTTAGTACACCAAAATGCATTTCAGTAATTTATTAAAATATCTTCTGGCATACCATTAGCCATCAGACGCTATATCAAAGTGTTTAGGGGCTTTTGGGGGCTACAAAAATGGCCTAATATTCCTGTCTCCAGCTCCTCCTTGACCCTCTCCTCCACTAATTGTTCTGTCTTGCAGGTTTTAGGCACACTGGCTTTAATTGACGAGGGAGAGACGGACTGGAAGCTCATTGCTATTGATGTGAATGACCCGCTGGCTCCCCAACTCAGTGACATTTCTGATGTCGAGAAGCACATGCCAGGCTTCCTGAAGGCTACTGTGGAATGGTTCAGGATCTACAAAATTCCTGATGGGAAGCCAGAGAATCAGTTTGCATTCAATGGAGAGGCTAAGGATAGGGAATTTGCCCACAAGGTATGTATAAGCTAGATTGCAATGAAAACAAAACCTTAAAAAATCTTCAAATTAATGATAGATTCATTTCATGTACATGTTAATTTTGTTTACTCAAGTAATTAAGTGTTTAAGAAAGGAAACAATGTTGGACTTTTACAGATTATCCTCGAGACCCATGAAGCCTGGAAGAACCTAATAGAAGGCCAGTCAGATGCTGGTGGCCTTGACATTGGGTCTGTTATGGTTCCCCATGCTGCAAAGAAGCTTCCAGTGAGTGAAGCCCAATCTACCATTGATAGTGCTCCAGAGGTTGGCCAGCCACAACCTGTGGATCCTAAAAGTAAGTCAAAAGATGGAATGTTTAATTACTGGTAGGCCCTTGCTGACATATATTCTCAACATTTGTATTATCATTGTAAAATAATTTTTAAGTATTAGAAGCCTGGATTTTTAAGCTTTTATTTTGATATGGACCAAAACTAGTGCCTACTTCATAACTTTTATGATAGAGCATGAAATTTTTTTCTTTGGGGTGGCTAACTGGAATTTTCTTTGTGGAGGAATTCAGCCAAGATGCAGCTGACTGGAACTTGTGATAGAAAAATTTTGGCAGAGGGTGGGGGTGATAAGAATGTCTGACGATGGGATATTGTTGTTGAATGATATGAGGGGGGAGGAAATGCTTATACAATGTTACTTATAGTGACTGATATGGTGTCATTCTAATACCATTTTGATAAGGCATAATAAATGACAAATACAGACCTCAGAAAACGGCAAACATTAAAAGCTTCTCTAAAGAAAGAGCGAAAAGCATTGCAGAGAGAAGACAAGGAATCTTGATGTAGGCTAGGCCTTCAAGCCAGAAACTTAGATGTGTGGCTGGTAAGGCTAGCTATTCAGCTGTAGTAGCATTTCTGCCTTTTCTAAACATATGATACAGAAAAAGATATAAATAAAATTTAACCATACTGTCATAAATGGATGAAAATTAGAGTACAGTTACACTGCCTAGGGTTAGTGACTTATGATCATATGATTCCGTGTTACTTTCTTGTTTATTGCGCTGCATAAAAAATATATATAAAATATATTAAGCCAATAATGTGACATCCTCAACATAAAATCGTGCATCTCTTTATATAAAATGCATTAGTTGTATAACTCAAGAAAATGCTACATTGAACTGTAACCTTGATTTATCTAAACGTATACAACTACTCATAGTGAGTGTGTCGTAGATTCGCTTTATGAAACTGTGGCTCTACCTTTGGTGATGCCCAGCTGAAGTGACATTAAATGAAATTTCTGCTGTCATGACGTTTGGTCTGCCCATCTTGTCAGTTCATACCATGATGGTTTAAGGAATTTTTGTTTGATTTATTTAAACGGAAAAATATTTCATTATTGCTTTAAATACTTTTCATTTGCATCAAACTATCTGTAATCATAAAAAATAACAAGAACAGACTTAAGAAAAGAAATCCGGAGTCACGTTTCCATTTAGCAGATAAATTTCTGTAGGAATCCAGTCCCGCAGGCTGGACATTCAGTAAGCCTGATGCTCAGATTTTGGCCTATGTGCTGGCCACAAGGCACCCAGTTCCACAGGTTAACCCTTAAAAGATACCAGTATGATTTAGATCTGCATGTTTTTTTTTTTATCCCATCTATAATGTACATATATTGATCAGAACAGCTAAGAAAAAAAAGATGATTGGTTTGCAACTGAATACAGGCAAACAGTCTTTCTGCATGCTAAAAAAATTAATTAATTATCATCAATGATAATCATTATAGTATCAGTACAGCAGTCCTCATTATATTATATGTTGACATGTAGGCATGAGAGATGCTGGCTGTTGGACTACTTGGCTTGGCTTGGGTGGGGACATAGAGGAATACATTCTTGCCATATCTTGCTTTCGTTTCATGTAAGGCCTTTTAATAGGTGGTGATAATCATAAATTCTACTTGCTGTTTAAGGGGTTATGGGGTGGGAGAGGGGGAATAAAAAAAAAAAAAAAAAATTGACTTTGCCTATGAGTGCAGTTTTTTGATGTATGGTTGCAGAAATATTTTCTATTTTACACAAGTTTTGTATGCTGAAGTTTCATTTCTTTTTTCTTTTTTTTACAGTTGATACCTGGCACTATGTTAGCCTGAAGTGACTTCCTTGGCCATCGCGACTGTGATAGTCCCTGGTGATACTACAAGACATCTTTATTGTATTCAGTTTCCTGTGACTTGTACATTATGAAAAATATACTTGGAATTTTTAATGCTCGAATAACATCCAATGGAAGTGATTTTCCAGTATTACGAGAGTTGTATTTTACTCCTCTCTGCTCTTTTGCATATTTAAGAGAGACGTCACAGGGAGTTGGTACTCTTTTGTATCACTGGACGAACAAATATTTATATATTTAAATGCTGTTTCATTGATCATCCTTTTAAAATATTTTTAAAGATAAGCTACATGTACCAGAGCTACAGAATGTGAATACTTTAGATTGATTGCATATGCAAAATCATAAGAATGGAAGATTGCACCAATATATCTTTGGTAAAACTCCATTAAAGATAAAGCTACAAAAAATCCAGCATAATTTGTCATTTTTACATAAAAAATGACTGCACAAATCTATTAACTAGTCTCGTGTATTCCAGTAAAGAGGGGTAAATAGTGTTATTATTGCTGAAAACCAAAGGCACCTCAAGCCTACATTAACGGGTATTTTTTTTTATTTTTTTTTTTTATTATTTTTTTTTTATCATATTCTTTGTAAAGTTTGAATAATGAATCACATTTAATTATAAAAAGGTGAGAATCAACATGCAATCAAGTGGGATGTAAAGATGACAGGATAATCCAGTAATCCATAAACCAGAATAGGCATGTAATGCAATCTAATATTTTGATAAATCATTATCACCTTGCATGACATGCTTGCTTGCTTCCTGCACCCTGTATTTCCTTAATTTTCAATATAAATGAACACCTGGAGAGCATAGAACAAACTTTCTAACTCATAGCACAAAGGTACAAGATGCTATAAAAGAATGACATAGACATGGGTTATTTAAATGCCTTCGATTTTAGTTTGAATAAAGTCCTATTGCTTAATACCAAGATCTGAATATATAAATATTTTAAACCAACATTGACTGTTGCCCATTGTTTTATTAAGGCCTCGCCACAGAAGTGGTCATAATTGGCGGGCAACTGTATCATGGGTATATTGAAGTACATCAACAGTTTCCCCTGTTTACGGCTAGCTCGTTCAGTAGTTGTGGGCAACATTACAATAACAATTCTTAAAATTATATTTTTGAATGTTTACCTTCAATTTAAGTGCTATTGCCTAAAAGGCTTACCACACAAATTATGCTGCTACTATCAGACAAAAAACAGCTTTGTCCGATGAGCCGACAGCATGGGAAGGGCCACGTTTTATTCAACCAGTACTTTGTCCTTAGCAGTCGTGGCATGTACACACACATCACCCAGCGGGAAGTGGTTAGTAGAGTAATTTGCCTGCTCACGACGTCATTTCAATCTGTACCCACTTGTGTTTACCTTTACATAAACAGTACAATGTTTTATGTGAATGTAATAGTGGAGACAACTAAGAAAAATAAACACAAATAGAAAATTGAGTATGCACTTTATTAACACACATGATCATAAATTTTACATACTTGTAAGGTACCACAAGGATGGAAATGGGAATTGTTCTCTTTATGGACAATGCATTATATCTCCAGAAAATGGGGGAGGAAGGAAATGTAAGATATGGAAATGAAGAGACAAAAGATTGTACGTTGAGATGATAAGCTGTCATGTAAGATCGTCTCGTACATTTATATTTTTCAGAAAATGTTTGTCTATGGCCTGATCATGGGTGGGGAATTAACATCCCCATTTAATATTTTTCATTATAATACCCATCCCTCTGTTCTAAAGAAATTAAATCTTTATTATGCTATATATCTTGTATTTTTGTCTGTGACTAGAGCTTGAAAAACCTTGGTAAAAAAAAATATATATATAGCTTATGCATACCATATACTGTCTTAAACTAAAGTAAGGAACTGAACCTTGGAAAAGTGACAAAAGATCAAAAGGCCAGAAAAAAAGGTTATCCCCAATAATGTTTCTTCACATAAACTTCAAATATAGTTCTCCAAAACAGGTACAATACTTTTATACATTTTTACGAATTATACTTTCAAACTTTATTTATCAGCTCCTCCTAATATATATTCATCAATTTTGGCTCTGATATTCAATGTTAATTGTCTGGATAGTAAGGAGGGATGTGTAGAAAGATGTATAAGCAAGCAAATTTAGGGATGAAGTTACGAAGAGTGAAGTAATAAGCTGGATTCACTTTTTTCCAACTCTATTTAGTAAGGATAGGAACTTACATATTACACGAAATATCAACATTGCCTTTTTTTCATTATGCATCTGCATAGAACAAACTCCTAATGAGACTAGTTCTCAGTATTGCAAAGACAAATTTTGTTAACTGCCCATGCAATATCCTGTGTACATCCTTTTCCTCTTCTCAAAAGTTTTTCAAAGTGCAGGAACTTTCAAAGGGATGATAAACCTAACCTTTGGGAGAAGTACAAGAGAAATACACTATCCATTTTTGTTTCCTTTATGGAAAACGTGATAAAAGGAAAGGGGAAAAAATGGAAAATACAAATTCATTAATATTGGAATGTAGCATGTCTTGTATTCCGGAAGGTATGGTCTACAGGCATGTCCAGATGAGTAGGCCTGATCAGCAGGCATGCCTGAGAAGTTGGTCAAGAGATGGGCAAACTAGTCATAAATCAGTAGTTTTGCCTGCCTTTAATATCATTTCCAAGGCATGCCTGCCTTTAATATCATTTCCAAGGCATGCCTGCCAATTAGTCCCATTCATCTAGACATGCCTTACTGCAGTCATTTTCAACCATATCTTAAAAAATACACCATATTTCAGATACAAAAAGAATTCATACTTGTTATACAAAATCTAGCAGTCTGCAAGGAGGCAAACTGTATTTTCTAATAATTGGCAAAATGAAGTTTTCTCAACCAAAACAGTTTTCTGAAAATAGGAAGAGCAATAATCTGTGGGATGCCCAGAACATATTTCATGTGTAGCTGAAAACACACTTTCCTTTCTCTTCAAAAATTATTTGTACAGATAGAACTCTTATGCCATAAAACCAACTCTGCTGATATTCCAAGCACCAAATTCATTAGTAAAGAGAGAATTGTAATGAAAGAAAAATTAAATCAAAATGTATTTAAAGCAGAATTACAGTTAACTCTGCCTTTTAGGAATGGCTCCTTCCATGGTATAGTTCCATTTAAATTGCTCCTCTTCTGACATGCAATCAATTCTATTCTCAAGAATAACTTCTGCCATATAATGTCTTGATTGAAAACTTATGAAATAAGTCTTCCACTTGTTCCCTTGTCCAACAATATTCACTTATGTTGCAGTGAAAGCCTGCTCTAATAGGTTCCAATCATCTTTTATTATAGGAGAAGTTCCAGGGTATGAACCATTTCAAAGTGACACTTACACTCTTCCTTCAAGGTATTTTCTTTAAATGTCACGAGTGCTTGTTCTGAGCAGCTGGCAAAAGAAAAGAAAAAAAGAGTACTAGAAAGCCTGATCAGATAAGGCTCCAGATGACTGTGACAACAAGGCAATCCTGAGGTTACTGCAGAGCCTTCATAGGGAGTAAATGGAACAAAGGCATATTGATTGTAAACCCTCTTTTAATATGAGATAGAAAATAAAATGGCAGAAAGTTGTCATACAGTCTTCCAAGAGTAACCAGTACCATTTTGTCCATGGTACTCCTTGCATTACATAATACACTCTGAAAGTATCACGGTCACTCTGTGGTACCCACAACATACAAAATACGCTTATGAACACATTTCAGTATATTGCTTGTTCCTGCTATATGGTTCTACTGGAATTTGTTAATATGAACCACTACTTCAAAATAATATTTTCATATAAAATTATCTCAGGATTCTTCAGCATTACAATGGCTATTTCATTGATCCAAACTATTTTTACATGGGTTAAAAATAGAGTTTAACATTTAAAAACTGTCCCAAAAGGGGCAAACCCCAAGAAACAGCATTGCACTCGGCCACGTTATGTACACAAGTATTACAGAAAAAAAAGAAAAACATTTTATCTACCTAGTCTTTTAATGCATATACAGAAAACCAGTCATTATCGATATTATGCTAAAACCCATTCTGAGCTTCCAATTTATAGAATAGTCTTTGGGTTCACATTTGAGCAAGACATGTCCATTCATGCGACAATAGCATACTGGTAAAAAGACAGAAAAAAAAACACCATATTACTAAAAGTACTTTTAAACATGTAAATAAAACAATAGAGATTGGAATAAAATATAAACAAATATAGAAATAAAAATGACAGGAAGACAGCTTTGTTTCAATTGGCGGTTATGAATTTGGCTATTATATAATTTGACCACAGTCTGAATATGAATCTTGGCACACAGGACAGGAAGGGTAGAGGGTGAAGGGGGACAAGTATGCGGGGGAGGGGCAGGGGGGTGCAACTGCTGTCCATTACGAGGTGCGATTCTCACCTAACCCCATACGAACAAGGGCTCGCTGGTGCATATAAAGCAGAGGTATACTGAGACTAAGAAATAAAGGATATGCAATTAGTATTCCTTTTGGCTAACTCCTTAGAAGTATGTATGCCTTCTTTTTTTATTCTTATCTTTATAAGGGGGGAGGGGAGATCTGTCCATTTTATGTATTAATTTGACTTACTTGTTATTTAATGTTTTGTTACATTTTTAAAGAAGCCATTCAACTCCTAAACGAATTAAGCACCTTTACAGAGTTAACATGTCTGATGTAAATATATATCTTTATTTATTCAGTCAGTCAATTGAAGAAGAAAAAATATTTCTTTTTTAAAGTATAATACATAAACTGGGTTCCATGACAACATGGTGATTATGTGTTGTGAATCAGCACATGGAACCAGCATTACATATTTACAGTGGATACAAGCTACAACCTCTACACTCTTCCTATTATGGCAATCTTACATAGGTTAAGTTCTTTCTAGTTTTCGTGCTAGTTTTAGTGGTGGTGTGCCAGCTTTCTAGTCTATGATTTAAACTATTTTTGCATATAACAAGTGCAAATATACGACTAGGGTCCCAATCTATTTCTGCATCACTGTGTATCTCAGATCTATTGGATTTTTTTCTAATGTTGTTATTGTTACAAAAAAAAAAAAAAAAAAAAACTGATAAAGTTAACAGAGCTGTATGAAACATGTCAACTTGATTCACTGTTTGTTTACAGAATACAAAGCAGTAATGTGTATATATAGCATAAAATATGTA